AACTAAATAGCTCTGTTGTGTGGATGGGTGCAGAGTTAATTCGATTTAGCGCTGCTAAATTCGACATAACCTGCTAGTGTAGACCAGGCCTAACTGTGTTGCTCAGGGATGTGGATTTTCACACCCCTGAGCGACATAGTTATATCAAACTAATTTCCTACTATAGACATGGCCTTAGTCTCTTTTCCACTGTTTCGTGGGAGTTTGGGGGGAGAGAAATCTTTTTAAAGGCTGGCACCACACAATCTCCTCTTCACAGTTCTTTTCTCACTATCACGCAGATGCCTTTGGAAAAAACACTTGAAAATTCTTAGAGGGTGTATTTCATTCTTCGATCTCTTGAATGGTGTAGTAGGCAGAGTGGGGGAAAATAATAACCCACTGTTTAAAAAGCGCTATCTCTGACTCATTTCATTCTGTCTCTTAGGAGTGCTGTATATTAGAAAACTTGCTTTGGTTTAACTCCTAGATCAGTTTTAAATTGATTTAGCTAACCCTGTGCAAACCCTTCATGTAGACACATTTAGGCTGGTGTAGAATCATAGAATCATATAATATCAGGGTTGGAAGGGACCTTAGGAGGTCATCTAGTCCAACCCCCTGCTCAAAGCAGGACCAATCCCCAATTAAACCATCCCAGCCAGGGCTTTGTCAAACCGGGCCTTAAAAACCTCTAAGGAAGGAGATTCCACCACCTCCCTAGGTAACGCATTCCAGTGCTTCACCACCCTCCTAGTGAAATAGTTTTTCCTAATATCCAACCTAAACCTCTCCCACTGCAACTAGAGACCATTTCTCCTTGTTCTGTCATTTACTACCACTGAGAACAGTCTAGATCCATCCTCTTTGGAACCCCCTTTCAGGTAGTTGAAAGCAGCTATCAAATCCCCCCTCATTCTGCTCTTCTGCAGACTAAATAATCCCAGTTCCCTCAGCCTCTCCTCGTAAGTCATGTGCACCAGCCCCAGTGTAATCTTTGCTTAAATTGGTTTAGCTTCACTTGGTAATTTACCTAAGTGGGACTTAAGTGGTGTGTAAGTCCTGTGCCGGCCCTCTGCATAGGGACAGAATTTCATCCGGTGTCCCTATACACTAGCTTCAGTGCTGCCTCATTTATATGCACTGAAAATAAATATGCTCAGAACAAGATATGAGATGCTCATCTTGTTTTGCGAGTTGCTGTCTTGTTTTGCATCTCTCTTCCCTTTCTAGTTGCTTTCATTTTTTGTCTACTCTGTGATCCTATTGCATGCAATTTTAGGCTGATCTTTGGAAGTTGAAAGTCATTGGCTGATTTGCAGTAGAAAGGAAGACTCCTGGGGGGAATGTACGAAGATAACTTAGTGAAAGCTCTATGGGAAAGCAGGTCACATTCAAGTAGAAAGATATAAATGTTTGCTGTCATTCCCCTTGAGTTTCTCGTAATGCAACACAGCTTTGATCATTTTTATTAAGGACCTCATCCAAAGCCACTGAAGGGAATTTCCATTGACTTCCATGGGCTTTGGATCAGGTTGTAAAGCATAAGGACCTGAGTGAATTCCAACTGACGCCCTCTGAGAACTGTGTTTGTGCTAGAATATGCTAATATAGATATTTTCCCCTTTCTATCCACATTGGATTCTCTCATAGTGAAGTTGAACTAAATCTGTCCCTTATGCCAGTATGTGTGCAATGCAACTCCCAAACTGCAATGTAAAGCCTTTCCAGAAGTTTAGTGACTATGGCTTTAAATCATGAAACTGAGAGCATATACTCAGACTGCTGTGCCTGTATGAAATAACTATTTCTTCCGTGGGGTTCTGCATGAACCTGGCAGTCTGTCCATGTGCTACACTTTGTAGCTTGGGGGGGGGGCTTATGAATACCCGCCGCCCCATTATTTCCTTCACTATTTAGACTGTTCAATACAGATTATATTCCAGACACATGAAGAAATTGTGAATGATAACTCAGTGTTTACGTCCCCAAAAGCACTAGCTGAAAAGGAATATTTACCAATATTACATGTCCACCTGTATAGGACTGGAACATTAGTACTTTGTTCTAATCATGTGTATAATTTCATCAGTCATTTCCAGATCTATTTGGTAACATATGACACACACTATGAGAAAACTGTGTATGCAGCTCTTTAACTTTATTGTCTAGCTTTATTGCACATACTTTATTGAAGCCTTCATTACTTTACCACTCAAGGTTTCCATAGCTATTCTGAATTTAGTTTAAACATATTTTGTCTCCCAAGTGACAATTTTATTTCAATTTTAAGGTTTTGAATCATCCAAATTGAACATAGCTCCTGAACTGATAAGTAAACACCATGCATATTCTGGAAGCAAGCCAATGGGTACTCTGCAAGCATACTGATACTGTGCATAGAGAAAAAACACCATAGAACTTTAACTGTAAACCTAAATTGTCTCTGAATTAAATACATGGTGTGACATTTTTAGCTCAGTAAATTTATGGATTATTTTGTGACCTGATTGGGAAACCGACACACAGTCTAAATCAATCCTTCTTCTTCTCTTTTTTCTCTTCCTCTCCTGCTGCCTCTTCCTTCTTCTCCCCATCTTCAGCTTCCTCAGCAGCCTCTTGGGATTCCTCTCCTTCTTCCTCTTCTCCTCCTTCCTCCTCCTCCTCACCCTCTTTGGCTTCCTCAGATTCCTCCTTGGCACCTTTAAAAATTGAGCAGCAATAAAGCATTCCACATCTTGCATGTAGCAGCTGCTGAGCCAGGGTCTTGATTCTGCTTTAATTGAAGTCAATGATAAAACCCCTACTGACCTCAATAGGAGCATAAATGAACTTAGGCTATGTCTACACAACAGCCAGGATCCACACTCTGAGATCGATCCACCGGCAGTCGATTTAGTGGGTCTAGTGAAGATCCGCCAAATCGACAGCAGATCGCTCTCCAGTCAACCCCTGTACTCTACCCCGATGAGAGTTTCTCCCATCGGCCCCCCGCAGTGTAGACCCCGTGGTAACTTGATCTAAGCTACGTCGACCTATTCACATAGCTGGAGTTGCATAGCATAGGTCGACTTACCGCGGTAGTGTAGACATAGCCTTAATTTGGGGGCTTCAAAAAAAACTTATATTAAGTTTAGGGTGTGTTTATTTAGGCTAGAGCTTTCAAGAGACTAAGGGAGTTAGGCACTAAATCATATTGAATTTCAAAGGGATTTGGGTGTTTAACTTCTGTAGGCTCCTTTGAAAATCCTGGCCTTAAAAAAAAAAAACCCAAACAACAACAACACATAACTGATTGGCAACTCATTTTAAGCCTTGATCCAAAACCCATTGAAGTCAAAAGGAGTCTTTCCACTGACTTCAGTGAACTTTGGATGAGCACATTGGTGATCCACTAGAAAAGGCATTATCTAGTTACAGATGAGCTTTCATACTAAGTGGATCTTAGATAACTGTTTAAATAAAAACAAATTTGCTTTCAGATGTGTGTAGTTGAAATCCTCCCTCAAGGATTAATCATCACAGATCATTAATATCTGCTTGTTTAATTTTTTTCCTGCTGTTTAGGCATTTAAGATTTTACCACCCATTGTTTAGTGCATTAGACTATGTGCTCTGAGAATGATTATAGCATCAAAAAGAGAATGAAGATTCTCAGTGGAGCTCTAGCTCAAAGACACAGGATAACAAAACAAATTGCAACAGGATGTGGGAAAGGATGCTCCAGAGAATAATTATTTTTAAATGTTTCTTTAAAAACTTCCAAGTTTAGTAAAGAATGTAATGGAAAAATGTACTTTGGTGGAAGGAGGACAGCGGAAATAACTGGCAAGATCCCCAGCTGATGTAAATCAGCACAGCTTCACTGAACTCAATAACATTGATTTATGCCAGCCGAGGATCTGGTTCAAGATGTTCTCTGGGAATTAATATTTAGTTCAAGATGTTCCTGTTCTTTTCAGGAATGTCTGGAAATGGTCAATTAAGTATTGTTTATTGGCTTGAGAATTTGCCAATAGCACTTTCTATTAACATAGCCCAATGCTCTTTCTTTGAAAGTCAATTGCAAAGCTCCCATTGACTGCCAGGAGAGCAGGATCGGCCCCATAATGTATTGAACATTCAATATTTGTCTGATTTCATCCTTCATATTGTACTTGTTTTCCCACACATGCATCATGGGGTCAATCCAGCAATTCCTTACTTATGTGAATAGCCCCATTTAAGCCAATGGGTCTATTCACTTGAGTTAGGAGTGTTTATATTAACAAAGACTTGCAGATTGAGGCCTCATATATGAGCATAGGTGAATTCTGGAATAGCATGCTTTGAAAGTAACCAAATGTACCTTCTTCCTCTTCTTCAGCTTCTTCTCCTCCCTCCTCTTCCTCAGCCTCCTCCTTCTCCTCCTCCTCCTCACCTTCTTCTGAAGGGGGTGCTGCTTTGGCCACTTCCATTTTTGCTGCCTCAATAGTCTCCTCTACTTCTATCTGTTCTTCCTGAACGTGACTGGAGTAGTAAGCAGGGAAGGAACGGGCTGACATCAAATAGGAGCTGCTCTGTAAACCACTGTAGGCAGACCTGCCAAAGACTGGGGCACTCTGAGTGTAGCCACTGGTTATGCTTCCAACACCAGTGAAACTAAGCCGTGTCTCCTCACCTTCCAGCAATTTTCTAGAGGAGGAAAAAGAAACAATTATGTATTGTTTGTCCTGCAGTTGGGCCTAGAAGCCCCTTTCACGGGCCAGGGCCACATTGTGCTAGAGGCTGTACAAACACAGAACAAAAAAGATGGTCCCTGCCCCCCAAAAGATTACCAACTTATACACTTTTAGTAATAAAGACCATTATTCTACAATAACCAACTGTCTGGCAATTATACATTGATCCAAAAAGGATGGCACTTTATCAAAATGAGTTACAGAAGGTAGAAATTAGACATCAATGTGCATCACTGGATGTAAAGAACCCTTTGAAAGGGAACTAATGAAAAATGGCATGAAAATAACATCACTACGCCAACAATGAAAGATAGTTGTATTCTGTTATCCTGTAGGACTGCACAGAGTAGGGACACCCAACAATTTGACCTCCTCCTTTTGTTCCAGGGGGTCCACGTTTAATAAATATACCAAGCAGTTTTATACTGAAAAAATACTCCCCTATACTCAGATGCAAGTAGTCAAAATAATTTTAACTTGGTGTTTGCAGTTTCCATTAATGCCTAGGGTCAAGCATAAAACAATGATGTAGCAGTAAGTTTGCTCCCAAACATTAGCCTTCAGCTGAGATTTTAATAGCACCTAAGTAACTTGTAGTGGGATTTGTGCTCCTAACTCACTTAGGCACTTTTGATAATCCCAACCTTTGTATTTATTATTTTAATTAGGCTTTGCTGGTTCTAACAAACTTTTTGTATTCAACAAATATAAGCATGGAAGGTTTATTATATGGTGAAGATTTTGTCCTGAAGCAAACATTTCACCTTCAAATCATTTTTGGTTGGCTTTTTTTCTGTGAGTGGGTTTAGGGGCTAGTTAATAAAAACACTGAAGAATAAAATAGAATTCTATAGGAAACCTGCAGCAATGTTTTCTATAGTGACGAAAGAGTGCAGAAAATGACCTCATAGTTCTTATCTATTTCAGATACCTATTAGTCTATGAAAGGCTAACATAGTCAGCAGCTATAATTCTTGCCAAATATTAGAGCTAATTATGTAAGGGGTTAAAGCTAGTGAGAGGCATGAAAAATAAAATGGAATTTCTCCAGCTGCAAGAGAAAATTTCTGATTCACTTAACACTTTCTCCATCATACCTGTATGCTGCAATTTCAATATCCAGAGCCATTTTCACATTGAGAAGATCTTGATATTCTTTCAAATAACGGGCCATCTCACTCTTTGTGGTTCTCAGTTCATTTTCTAATTTATTAATTGTGTCCTGTTGGGAATAAAAATATTCAGAAACATAAAATCTTTAGTTCCTCTTGTGTACTGCAGTGATGGCTTGGAAAATAATGCTAAAATCCTATTTTCCCTTGCTGCAGCAAGGGAATGTATTTAATGGACCCAGGTCTGGCTTCAAATATAAGGTTGAAACTCTCATTAAGTGCCGCATCATCTGATAGGGTTTTTCCATGTCTAACATATATGATTCTATTTCATTTAATGTTTTTAAGATCCAAAGTGGTTTTGATTTTCCCTATTTCCCACAAACAATTGCCAGAATTTATTTTAGTTCCCACTATTTTTTAAAGAAGAAGTGCTTATTTGAGGGCAGAAAGCAAGCTATGTTGTGAAGCTACAATCGTTCAACAGATACTATTTTACATTTTAGCCTAATGTCATTTTTCTTTAATTCATGGAACTTCATGCCAATAAACACAATGGGACAGATCCTTAGATCCTATCTACTGGCATAGTTCCTCAGTGGAGCTACATCGATTTGCACCATTTAAAGATCTGGCCCATTAGATTCTGTGCCAACTACCTGCATTTGCAGATATGTTTATCTAGTCCATTTCCATTCCTTTTCATTAAAGAAGTGATGGATTCTTTGCTACTTCAAACTAGTTAGTTCCTAATATGGTGGTTACTAAAAGAGAGAATGACCCTCTTAAATCATATCTTGTTTTAATGATATAATCCTGTACTTCTTACTATGGCAAAACTTCCAATTGACTTTAATCACAGAATCATAGAAGTGTAGGATTGGAAGGGACCTCAATAGGTCAGCCAATCCAGTCCCCTGCACTCAAGACAGGACTACCTAATAACTAGACTACCCCTGACAGGTGCTGATGAAGAGTTTTGCCTGAGTAAGGGCCACAAGATTTTTACATACAGTAATAAGTGATTCAAGGACTAAATTATTCCTGAAATTTTTGTATTTTTTAAACACAAACTACCTTTGTTTTCTCTTAATCTTTTATTCTTTACTCCTTTTGCATGTTCTAGCATTATCTTCTTAATTAATTACATTTTTTTTTCATTAAAGGATCAATTAAATCATTTAAAAATGTATCCACATAATTAATATCACCTAACATGCATTAGAACTAATACCGCCCATTCAGATTTTATTAACTACAATATACAATTCATAAATAACCCAACCCAATGAATTTTAGTCCTGTTAATAGAGCTGTACTCCAACATTTATCAAAATGATCATAACAGTGTTTTTAATTGTAGTCATGTAATTAGCACTGTATTAAACATCATTGTAAGTAATGCAGCTCATTTAACTGCATTCTGTTATAAGCTTTGCAAAACATTCATCATAATTAATGGCACCTTTTTAGTTGCTACTCTTATTGCTGAGTTCTGCTTATTTCACCGGAATTGGGTTTTAACTTAACCCTTTAAAAACGATTCCTGTAAGGAATATACATCCTGCTTAATGCAAATCTTTGTGTTACTTTCTCCTATAGCTGAGGATATAAGCACGATGGACATTTTGCATTTAGTTGCAAAGAAGCACTGTCTATGTTCTGGGGTCCCTGCAGAGGGGAGAGCTCTTACCTGCCCAGAGGACTGCAAGGGTCAATTCCCTGATTAGGCGTTTGCAGAAGACAATTAATGTATTCCCACTGACTTCAATGGGCTTTGAATCCGGGTATAGGTGATGGGAATTTCTGCACCGTGCCTGGACAGATGCTGGGGTTGCTGCTTTCATTACTTATCTAGGTGCTGGACAGCTCCCAAGCTAGGAGCCAGTAATACGCCCCAGTGCTGGACAGCTCCCTGGGTTAGCGCTAGTGATACCCCCAGTGCTGGACAGCTCCCTGGGTTAGCGCTAGTGATACCCCCAGTGCTGGACAGCTCCCTGGGTTAGCGCTAGTGATATCCCCCAGTGCTGGACAGGTCCCTGGGTTAGCGCTAGTGATATGATACCCCACGGTGCTGGACAACTCCCTGCCTGGGCGCTCGGGATGGTGCCCGTAGCTACCCGCGTGGACGCTGGGGATGCTGCCCGGTGCATTGCACCGTTGCCCCCCGGAGTGACCTGCCCAGGCGCTCCAGGGTTCCCGGGTACCCGCCTGCCCATGTCCCGGGGGAGGGATGCCGGGGGTGGCTCACCTGCATGGCAGCGATGTCTGCGTTCTGCTTCTCCTCCAGCTCCTGCAGTTGCCTCTCCATCGCCTCGTTCATGCCGCGGGTGGCCTCGATCTCCAGCGTCTTGGCCTTGAGCAGCCGGCGGCTCTCGGAGATCTCGTCCTTGGCGGCGCGCACGGCGTCGGTGTTCTTGGCGGCGCTCTCGGTGAGCACGGTGAAGCGGCTGCGGAACCACTCCTCGGCGTTCTGCATGTTGCGCGCCGCCAGCTTCTCGTACTGCGCCCGGATGTCGCGCAGCGCGGCCGAGAGGTCCGGCTTGGCCGACACTTCCATCTCCACCGAGAGGTGCGCGTACTGGATCTGCGCCTGCAGCTCGGCCAGCTCCTCCTCGTGCACCTTCTTGAGGAAGGCCAGCTCGTCCAGCAGGCTGTCGATGCGCTTCTCCAGCTCGGCCCGGGCCAGCGCCGACTCGTCCGCCCCTTTGCGCATCTCCAGCAGCCGGCCCTCGGCGTCCTCCCGGCTCAGGATCTCCTCCTCGTAGCGCGCCTGCAGCCCGCGCAGCGTCTCCTCCAGGCTCTCCCGCTCGCCCTGCAGCGCCTGCTTCTCGCCGCTGGCCTCCTCGGCCGCCAGGCGCAGCTCGCGGATCTCCTGCTCGTAGAGGGCGCGGAAGCGGGAGGGCTCGGCGTGCTTCTGCCGCAGCACCAGCAGCTCGGCCTCCAGCACCTTGTTCTGCTGCTCCAGCTCGTGCACCCGCTCGATGAAGCTGGCGAAGCGGTCGTTGAGGTCCTGCAGCTGCGCCTTCTCCTGGCTGCGGATGGACTTGAGGTCGCTGCTCATGGCCGCCACCTGGCTCAGGTCGAAGCTCTCCACCGAGGGCAGCAGGCAGCCCGAGGCCGACGAGGCGGCGTAGCTCCGGCGCACCGACACGGAGGAGACCGGGGCCGAGAGGCTGGAGTAGGTGGAGCGGGACAAGCCATAGCCGCCGCCGCCGCCGCTGCCGCTGCGCACCGTTCCGATGTGCAGCCGGGGACTCTCGGCGTAGCGCCGCTTGTAGGCGGGGAAGAAGGAGTCGTAGCCGAAGGAGCTCATGGTGCCGCCCGCCGCAGGAGGAGAAGTTGCTCTGCGCCTGGCCGCCGCCCGCCCGCCCCTATTTATACCCGCACAAGGGGGCTCTGACGCAGCCGCCCCGTTGCGGGGAGAGGCCGCGGGCGCCGGTGCCAAGAGCAGGGAGCGCGCTGCGCCAAGGGAAGGGGCCGGGCTCCGCCTCGGAGACAGGGCTAGTCTGATCGCCTGCTCCGCGTCAGGACATCCTCTCAGCCCGCTTCAGCCCATCCTCCCTGCTCCCTTCCCATCGCCACCCTTATCCCCATCCTCCCAGCTCCCATCGCCCCCCTGGTCCCCAGCATTGCCCCCTTCATCCCCATCCTCCCACAGCAGCTCACATCGCTCCCCCTTGTCCCCATCCTCCCAACAGCAGTTCTGTAGCGGGGCAGTTACCCTGCTACTGGAGGGAAAGGTAGGCTGATTGGAGAGGCAGCCAGAGCTGTGGCCACACCCAGTCAGGCCACAGCTGGCCCTGATATAAGGGCTAAGGGAGAAGCTAGGTCAGTCTTACTCCAGCCTTGGAGTGGGAAGGACTTAGTTCCCTGGGGTTACAGGCTACCTGAAGCAGAGCAGTGCTGGGAAAAGGCAAGAGGAGCTGGGGAGGTCTAGCCTGGCTACTCCCCAGGCTGAGGCCTTGCTGAAGCCTAAGGAGGTACTGGGGCTGCAGAGGTAGCTGGTCCAACCTGCTTGCCAGTGATGAGTGGCCATTACAGACTGCAGTCTGCCCCAGCAAATGGGGCTAGATGGAGACTGGCAGTAGCCACTGAGGCCAGCTGGACATAGGGGTTGGAGGTTCCCCTGGGAGGGAAGACTCACAGTGTGTGGGGGGGGTACTGATGTGGGCAGTACCCCAAGGTAAAGGGCACTGGGGTCTGGGAGGCACATGGTGGGGGTCTGAGGTGGGAGAGATGCCAGCCAGCAGGGGGTGCTCTGAGGCTGGAATTGAGCTAATTTCTGGATGACCAGCAGGAGGTGCTGCAGTGGTGAGTCCTTGATCTGTTACAAGCTCCCTTTGTACCCATCCCCTCAGGAGCGCCCATTGCCCATCAGCCCCTCCACATCTAGCAGCTTCTTGCCACCTCTGTCCTATCAGCCTGTCACACCCCATTAGTTTATTTCATTCCCCAGCCTGGCCCCAGCTACTCCTTAAACCCATCTCCATTAACTCCTTTTAATCCAACCCCTTTTCTATCAACTCCTTTCAACCACAGCCCATCATCTTGTCCCCACCCTCTTCTCATCCCATCAATTCTTTCACCCAATCTCATTCCATTCCAATCCTCTCCCCCAATTAAATTGTGTCATCCATCAATACCTGGTATTTCCATTAAGTCCTTTCACCTGAATCCACCCCATCATTTCCTGGAATCTCCTCATTACCTACTTTCACTTCACCCTACCATTTTCTTCTTACTATTCATCAGTACCTCTGAGTCCACCCCACTGGCTCCTGGCATCCCTCTCAACCAATCAGCTCACTTTGCATATTTCCCCCCTCCCACATAGGACCGCCTCCTATGACACTGCAGTAATACAAGGGGATTTTAGTAATATAATGAGACTATACCTAATACAAAGTGTGTGTGTGTATATAGGGTCTGAGCCTAAGGGAGTGAAGTGCCCAACCCCATTTGGATTTCAATGAGACTTGGGTACCTAACTCTTCTATTAGCTTTTGCAAATCCTAGCCTATAGGTGCATGTCAATCTGATTAAGTTATTCTGCATCTTAATTTGCTTTTATCATAATTCATCCAATACACTTGCAGTTTAACTCTATTTTTACTTGCCTTTCCACTGTGTCTCTGCTGTAATATTTGTTATATCCTTTTCTAAATCAGCCAGTTATATGAATTCAGAAAAAAAAAGTGGGTTAGGATTGCTTGTTTCCTGTCACAATGAAATACACCAACCCACACACACCAGTATCTATCTATCTGAACATCTGTTTTTGTGCCCCATGAAATTTGCTTGGTCAGCCTGTTTGAGTCACAGGTAAATGACAGACTTGTTGCATCAGGTTGAGAGGAACTCCATAGGTATATTAAAGCAACTGGATGACTGCTTTGCATTAAATACTGTTCCCTCATCTGTTCTGAAGGATTTGCTGTTGGTTAGTTAAAACAAAATAACCTTTATGCCCTGATCGCTTTGCACGAAGTATAAGATATTAAGATATTGAAAGAATAAAAGCAGGTAGTACAAGTTTCATAGATTCATATGATTGTATTCAAGCAGATTTCTCTGGATCAGAAGAGGTTCTTTTAAAAAATAGTAGTTCAATGAAAGCTTTGTCTGAGTAAAGACTAAATAAAACTGCAGGATTTGGTCCACATTTATTAGCAGCAGACACTGAGCCTGCTTAATGGTTTCTCTTCCTTTGTGAAGCAATCTATCTCTATTGGTATAACACCTGTGAAATATACCATCTAATATATTAGCACCAGTCACAGTGGCCTTTAGGCACTGACAACACACAGGACTAGCAAAAATTGTTTGCTTAATGCTGTTATCTTCTAATAAAAAGGGATTAGGATTGTTTTCCCATTACCTTGGGATGGTCTCAGAGGCTGAGTTTACATGTAAAATGCTACCAAGTCAACATGGCAATTATACAGCTCAAGTCAGCGGAGCCAGGCCAGTCCTGGGTGTTTAATTGCTGTGTAGGCATACCCTGCGACTGCAGTTCCTTTGTATACAATATGTTGCCAATTGAACCATTATGACAATTGAAATATGTTAGTGATACAGTAAATACAGCCTGAAAACTAGGGCCTGCATAGTAAACACAGGGCATGTTGCTCAACTGGTGTAAATCAGCATAGCTCTTTTGATGTCAATAGAATTATGCAGTTTACTCTAGCTAGGAATGTTTTACATATGGCCCTATGTACCTGCAAAAGGTTTACTTTAAACCAAGAACATTATTTTGGCTATTACATTAGGAAAAGGGTTGTGAACTCTAGAACTACATATGCAGTGGGCAGCCAAAGGAAATACAAATAATTCAGGACTTTTTGCTAAGTCTCAAATCTATGCAGTGGAGATGGCTGCACATCCTTATTCAGCCATGTGCAGCCTGCCTGTGTGGCTTGTCGTTTGCAAAGACCTTTGGGGAAAAAATGCAAATGGAACAATTGCTAAACTGCTGGCTGACTTGGCACATCACTATTGACCACATTCATGTTTCTTTCAAGTGAGTACTTAGTTTACCATATGCTCTGGGTATCCCTAGGCTTCTGGATGCCAGTGGTTGGATCGCTCTAAGTGTTCTGTTCCTTTCCTCTGAAGCATCTGACACCAGCCGCTGCTGGACAACAGGATACTGGGCTAGATGGACAATTGGTGTGACCCACTAGAGCCGTTCTTGTGTGCTACATGGATCTGATCTAAATCCCAGCCAATGGAAAGACTCTCACTGACTTCAATGGGCTTTGGATCAAGTTATTATGGGCGAGATCCTCAGCTGGTGTAGATTGGCACAACTCCATTGATTTCAATGGTTCTACACTGATTTACTCACTGGAGAGCTGACCCTCTAGTTTTGTAGTATTTTATTTAATATTTTAATATCTGAGTTTCAAACCTGAGGAAAATGGGATTAGTAATAATTAGTCCTTGTATAGTATTAAAAATCTGGAGCTCTAACACTCTCTCAAGTAGTCCCAGGGTGGGGATGAAAAGCATGCAAAACCTATTCTTTTGAGTCAACAACTGGTGGCAGGAAGAAAGAGGGGTAGTGTCTTCCAGCTCGCAGACTGTATCAGGGCCAGCTGTAGGGGAAATGGCACCCTGGATGAACTTGTATTTTGGCCCCCTCTGCCTCCCTGTGCTCCACACCCTTCCCTGCCCCTGGCTCCCCATCCATCCCTCCCATTGCCTCTGCCCCCTGTTGGCTCCCTAGGGCCCTGCTGCTTCTTCCCCCCTCTCCCGCCATTGTCTCAAGCTCCCTTCCGTGGCCTTGCACCCCAAGCCCATGCCCCTCCTAGCCTCTTGACCACAGCACACGAGGCGGCCGCCTGCATCACCCACCTGTAAGGCTGTCCCTGGACCCTATAGAAACCTCTGCATACCAGCTGCGGTGTTGGGCTATTGTGTGGCTATGTGAGGAATGCTCTTCGCTAGGAAGAGAACAGCGCAAATAAAACTCACCATTTAAGCCATCATCCCTTGGAAGCTCATAAGTATTTAGGGTAATGCTGCCTCAGATTTTTCTACCTACCTTTGTCCTACTACTTTTTGTTTTGTTTTTTGGTTTTTTTCCCCAGTGTGAAGAGCACAGTCTAGGCCCTGCTGTTTCATTATCAATAAAAAACAACCTAAAAGTGGTGGTGAACAGAGGGTTGTCTATCAATTAGCATGTAAGTGCTCCTGCTGCCTCTCCTGAAAACTTGTCTGCATTTTTAGTACTCACATGAAAAAAACATCAATGTGGTCAATAGAGATGTGCTGAGTCAGCCAGCAGTTTAGCAATTGTTTCGTTTACATCTGCTGAAGCAAAAACCTGAGGCTGCACCCTTGCTGTATTAATTAGTTATGGGTCTCCCAGTTCCATCCGAATTAAACTTCCAGGGAAAGAATCCAAAGTCCAGGCTTGTGCTGAATTCTATGGAAATAACTCTAGTGCCAAAGGACGGACACTGCTCAGCCATTTACTAGTACTGCCTAGGCAAAAGCAAGTAAGAGGTCCATGAAAATAAACACCTGTAATAAACAGTTAGCAAACCTCCCTCTCCTCTATATAATGCAGTTATAGTCTATGTACCTAATCCATCATTGGGATTACAGACCGAGGAACAGATTCTCTGGTCTGCTAAGGCCACTTTGAGCAGCACGGAGTGGTCTTGAGATAGCCAGTGGAGAATACCCCCTGTGCTGGTGAACTCTCTGCCAGTGGAAAGCTGGTGGAGATGGCTCTGCTCCTTCCTGGCTCCCGGCATAATGAGAGAGAGGGAACATCTTGGAGGTGTCAGGGGCAGGGTGTTGGGGTGGGAAACAGAGGGGGAAAGGGTGTGGGAGTGCACAGGCTGGCTACATTTGATTCAGATGTTACACCAGCGATGTACGTTAGGCTGCCCCATGCAATCCTAATTTCCACCGAAGCTATATTGCCCAGCCACCTCTTGCAACTGCC